CTGGACCAGGGCAGACGTGCTCAGAGGGGCATATGGAGAGGGAATGGCTTCTGTGGTGTGGAATCCAGGGCCAGTGGCATCTGGCCTGGGAGCTAGAGTCAGGGACCTCACTGCCTTCCCCACCCAGGGCCCAGGGTTTCGGGACCTTGGCAAGGCTGAGTTCATTGTGGTGCCTGGGCGTGCATGTGTGTGTTTGTGCCAGAATTGGGGTGTGTTTCTGGGCCTGGAGGCGGTGGGTGGAGGGGTGTGTCAGGACTGATTGAGGGCACTGTGGCAGGGGCAGGAACAGAGGGAATCTGGATGAGAGGTTTCATCATCCCCGTGCCTTAAGGATTGGCTAGAGGAGGCAAAAGAGAGGCGGGGGCATCTAATAATAGTGCCGAGGGGGTGACTGCAGTCAGGTCTGGCCCCAGCCCTTTAGGATTAGGGTCAGGGTTAGCCCAGGATCTTCTAGGCCCTGCTAGTCCATGGCCCTTCCTCTGGCAACACAGCCTGGACCCTGAGCCTTCCAAGAGGGGCAGGCTTCACAGACACCACTCCTTGCATCCTGTCCATGGAGTGGATTCGAGGGGGGCAGCCACCGTCTCCTTCAGCCGTTAGTCCCCAGTGGCTGGCGTTGGGGAGGGAGAGACTCCAGCCACCAAGGCTTTAGAGCAGGGGCCTGACCCTTCTCCAGACCATCAGGACTTGGCTCATTCAACTCTAGTCCTTGCCAAGAACGTGAGGGCCCCGAGGGCTGACTGTGCAGGAGAGCTGGGGCGCGAGAGGGGTGGGGTGCTCCCCAGAGCACATCCTCAGACTGGGCTCCTCAAGCCCCACTTCTGAGTGCAGCCCATGCTGCTGCCCCCCACCCCACCCCACCCCACCCCCAACACACACCATCCTTCCATGGAAAACAGTAAACTGGCAAACAGCAGCCCTCTGGGTAATGTTTTTGCACTCTACAAAAACATGTCACACCTATTGTCTTCTGATCCTGGCTACATCCGGTGAGGTCACAGGGCCAGTATGCATTTTTAACAAGGCTCTGAGAAAGCTTTTTTTTTTTAAGCATTTTTGCATTGCGTCCTGCGGTTAGTGCCGCAACTGAAGGTCAGGGAGTCCCATACATTCTGCTCAATGTATAGACCAGGGGTGGGCAAACTTTTTGACTCGGGGGCCACAATGGGTTCTTAAACTGGACCGGAGGGCAGGAACAAAAGCATGGATGGAGTGTTTGTGTGAACTAATATAAATTCAAAGTAAACATCATTACATAAAAGGGTACGGTCTTTTTTTTTTAGTTTTATTCATTTCAAACAGGCCGGATTCGGCCCGCGGGCCGTAGTTTGCCCACAGCTGGTATAGACGGTGTGCTTGACCCTTAGGTACGTTCTGTCCTTTCAGTCTCAGGCAGCCCTGCATGGTCCCTGTTCCTCCAGTGAAAGGAAGAGGCGCCCAGATGCCCAGCAACATGCTCAGGCTCTGCAATGACGAAGGGGCCTCATGTCCTGTGTGTCCGCCTCCAGGCCCAGCACTCATGCCCTGGCACCAGCAGAACGGCCTTAAGTGCCCTGGTGGGAAGTCACCTGGGGACACAGGCCCCTGCTCCCCAGAGGGACAGGCTGTGCTCTGGCTTTTATGGGGCCCTATAGGAAATGTCACTTGGGGAGACAGAGCCCCCGGACAGGGCTCTGAGGAGCAGGGGGCTGGGGTGGAAGACAGCTGAACCAGGTAGGTCTCTTTCTCAGGGCAAGTTGGGGTTCAGATCTCAACCTGAAGGGTGGGGTGCAGGCGAAGTGCTTGAGGGCAGGTGTGAAGGGTTGGAAAGAGAAGGGCAGGAGGGGGCAGGCCCTTCCTCTTCCAGCTCTTGCTTATGGTCAGGGGACAGGATAGGCACAGACGTGCCACAGGGCCACAAAGAAGCAAGTGGGACCCTGAGCAGATGCCTGAGCCAATTGGGGGGGGAGGGGGGCGGCTCAGGACCTGCCAGGGAAGCAGGCCAGGTGTGAGGCAGGGCCTGGGCCAGGGAGAATATGAAACGAGCTTCCAGCCTATTTGCATGTCCTGATTAACCATAAAATGAGCCCCAGGGGCAGAATTAAGCTGTCAGTTTCTCAGTGTGCTTCCACTACTTCCCCCACTACCCACAGCTCCCCACGCCAGCCCAGCCAGCCCCCACATCCTCATCACTTAGGCCCAGGCATTCCCAGTGCCTTCCTCCCTCAGCCTCCTTAACACAGTCTCCATCCTGGTCGCAGTCCCTGCAGGAGCCCACAAGGGGAGGGAGAAGGAAAAATGGGGGGTGAACGAATGGGCCATAAGCTTTCATTAGCAAAGCCTAACACAGCAAGGAGGCATCACACAGCCCTGTCAAGACCTGGGCAGATTTCCCCTCCCGAGTCAGCGTTCTGTTTACCTCCAGGCCTGGGTCCTGAGAGGACAGGTTTTGGCTTGGCTTTGGGCAGAGGTGGCAGCTTGTGGGAAGTGTGAGGAGCACAGGGCTGGACCTGTTCCAGTCTCAGCTCTGCCGCCGAGACCCTGGCCAGTTCCCATCTCCGAGCCTCTCCCTGTGAAACGTCACAGCAGCCGCTTCCAGGGTGTGGTGGGAGGAAATAACCTGCAGATGCTGGTGCGACACCTGTGATGTGATGTCGCAGCGGACGGCACTCCTGGTTGGTTTGTGCCCCCCCCCCCCCAAGTTAAAAGGGGTGTTGTTTCCCTTGAATCCTCGCTCACCGGTGGGTTCGTGTTGTTTCTCTCTCCCCTCTGATCAGGAACTAGGTCCTTTCCATTGCTCTGTTCTCAGTTGTTCCATCGCAGTGCCTGGCAGTGGGAGGCGCTCACACGGTTCGATTGGTCTGAATCGCTGTGCCTGGTCCACAGAACAGAGGAGTCACCTGTGAGTGGCGGAGAGGTGACTCGCTTTCCTATAGTGGCTCCTGACTCGGATCTGGTGCCTTCTTGAGTCATTTGCTGGATGGCTTCTCCTCTCAGAATTCAGGGAGCCGGTAGGTGGAATCTTTGGACTCACACACACCACCAAAGGCAGTCCAGTCTGTGGGCCTTCCCTCGGGGCCGAAACACCCGAGTCCTGGGGGCGACCCGGGAGCAGGGGGCTGGGGTGGGGACAGCTGAACCAGGCAGGTCTCTTCCTCAGGCCCACCGGGCAGCTCCTCCAGGCGGGCGAGCCGCGTTGGCCAACGCCGGAGAGAGCGGAAGAGTCGGTCCCAAAGCCAGATGACCCTCTGCTTCCAGTCCTGCTGCTTCCATTTGCTCAGAGGATGACAGGACCTTTTAGAGGCATCCCCAAGTTTGAAAGATGTGCATGCTGCCTGCAAATAGGGGGCTCTCAAAAAAAAAACACCACCCACCAATCTGGGCCTTTCCTCTTGTAGCTTCTGCCATCCAGAACTACACACCTACCATCTGATTGTGTGGGAATCTGGGAGTGACCCTAACCGGCCCTATGGAGCTGCTCACTGTAAGCCTCCCCCCATCTCCTCCCTGGGGGCCCGGATGGGATGGCCAAGAGCCTCTCTTGTTTTTCTTCTCCAATTTGCTATTAATGCTCTGAGGGCAGGAAGGCCTCTTGCCTCTAATTGCAGCTGTCACCTCCCATCAGGCAGATGAGGTGGGGGGAGGGAGAGTGTGCCCTCCCAGGCTGGCTGGGCCCTAACAGGGACCTGCATTGTCAGTTCCCAGCCAGCAGGCTTTCCGGGCCAGAGTAGGCGGGCTGGTAGCTTCCAAGGGGTGGCTGGGGTGGCATTGCTTTTGGGCCACGTGCCACCACCACGGCTGCAGAAGCTGAGCTGCTGCCCAGGGCTCTCCCTTCCCCCCAGGGTGGTTCTGGGTCAGGTGGGAAGAGGCCAGAGATGGAGCTAGGGATTTGGAAGTGTTTGTACCATCTGGGCTCACATGGCCTCGCTGGAGAGTGTACACGCCCTGGTGAGGGTGCAGGGCTTGAGACAGGGTGTTGGGGGGAGCGGTGTGACTCCAGGGCCCAGCTGCGCTCCATCAGCCCTGGTCTGGGCCCTGTTGGTGTGTCCTAGGACAGGTAGCGCCTCCTGTGAGCGGTGGGGGAGATAGCTGCCTACTTGCTCACTTGCACAGGGGATAATGGGTATGAAAAGGCTTCCCAGTGCCTCTAGGTGCTGCAAGTATTCCCTTTCCTGTAATTTGGAAAGACAAGGGCTTCCCCCAGTATTCCTTATGCCTGCACTGCTTACCTAGCCGTTTCAGATCCGGTGCCAGCTGACATCTCAAGGCAGCAGGCGCAGGAGGGGTGGGGGTTTGTCTCTGCTGCCCCCACTCCCAGGAGGCTCAGGGTTAATACCTGTGCAGGAGCAGTGGTTTGCCAGGGAAGCAAACAGTTATGGGGACATGAGAGATGAGGTCTTTATTGGGGGCCTCTCTGAGGAACCTGAGGCCCTGGTGCCCTAGTCCCTGTAGAATGTTGGGGTCTTTGGGGGCAGTGAGGAAGGTCAGAAGGATTTTCTGTTTTCCCCCTTCACCCCCCTCCAGCCCAGAATGAGCAACACACACACACACACACACACACAGAGAGAGAGTGAGAGACACACCACTCAAACACCATGTCAAGGCTAAGTTAGAGAGAGAACTTTGCTACTAAAGAAAGATCTAAAGGAAATTGTCTTCCCAAGAAAATTTCCCTGATTCATTTTTCATTAAAAATAGCTCCTTG